CTTCCTCCCCCGGCGGTTTTGGACATGCCACCTTTGGCAACTAAAACAAGTGCTTGACTTACTCTGATTTATTCTTGCTATGGCAAGGAGAATGAATGGAGGTGCTAACAGGGTCCAAGGGAATGGTGAATACCAGTCTTGCTTGCATGAATTTGTGCCTGCGTGTGCATGTGTGTGTGTGTATGTGTGCGTGTGTTCAATGGCAGCACTGTTCAGATTGGAGAACACATCTTCTCATTTAAAACACACTTTTAAGTTTGTCCAAAGTATTGCCCCTTGAGTAGGCAAACCTTCTTAAATGGTGTAGATATGCAAAGAGACAAAGACAAAAGTAGGACAAAGGATGTCTGTTATTCTAAGTTTAGTCAACCTTGGTATCGTTAAGCCTTTCGGAGACTGCCGCAGATGTGTTATTCTGTGCTGTGATGAAATTCAACCCCAAACCATTGGGGGCTTGAAAAAAAAAACAAACTCCTACAAACTCAGAATGAAGCACCACACACAGAGTCATGAGTATAAATATGTTCACATATACTCTAGAAACAGACAGGCACTGTGAAAGGGGTCTGAATGAGAGAAAATATTTGTAGGTTTTTAAAGATTCAAAATTCATCAAAGATCCAAATGACTGGCTTGCATGGGACCAGCAGTAAGAAACCAGTAAGAATCCCATGAACGGATGGCCCGCAGGACCACACCACCTCCTGTGTACATACTCAATCTCTGCTTTGCACAATACCTTATGTTGAACTATTTGTCTCTTTATCTATAGTGTGTTGCAAAACTAAATATACGACTTGGACTTTCAATGTTTTATTGGGGTATTTTTTGAAACCAGGATAAGTGGTGCGTAATTTGAAGGTGAATTACAATGTTAAGTTTTGATTTCTGTTTTACAAATACAAATCTGAGAAGTATCTTGCATCTCTTATGTGCCAGGACATCTGTGTTTTTCTCCAATCTTTAAAGTATCTCAAGCTTAGTTGTTTGGAGCAATTGGCATGCTTGAAAAGCAGTTCCAAGCCACAGCGTTGATTTTCATTTTAATTTTGGTCTGGATTTTGACTGGGCCTTTCTGAAACAGCTTTGGGGGCAGTTTTAGTCTCTGTCCTGCCGGAAGGTGAATCACGTCCTAGTATTTTGGAGCCTCCATGAGGTTTTCCTCTTCTAGAATTGCCCTGTGTTTTTGCTCCATTCATATTTGTTACATCATGATGCTACCAATAATGTGTTGGTATGATGTAAAGGTGAACGAATGCATGGATTTTGGTGATGAAATACATTCCAGTTTAAGGTCCTAAATTGACAACATTTGGAAGCCGTTTAAGAAGTCTTCTGTATCATTTTGACTCTCTCTCGCCATCACAGTCACAGGGTTTAGTTCACCTTTGCCTTCTCCCCATCAATTTTCGTGTCCATCATTCCTCGTTCTGCCTCTGAAGAAATGTACACAGCCTGCAGGTTGTGAAGGAACACCTGCTGAGCATCGTGTAAACAAACAAACAAAAAAACGCCCCAAAAATCACTGCCACGAAACTGAAATGCCGTGAAGCAAAAGTGAGCGGGGCAGCTTGCCTGTTAGTTCGTTTCAGATGGAGTTAAATATATCATTTTTCCTTGCCCTCTCTGACTCTTTCTAGCAGGCTGCCGCGCAGCTAGCACAGCGCAGAAGGCAGAGTGCAGAGTCTCTGACCTATTTAGGAAACTGGCAAGAGAGCAGCCAGGGAACATCAAAATACTTCAAAGGCTCCCTTTGAATCCTGCGTTATGCCCAACACAGTGTAAGAGTCTGTGCATATGTGCGCACAGAGATACACACACCTCCGTGCAATGCACAAACTTCATCAGTGGGCCTGCACAATTTTACACGCACGCACACACACGCACGCACACACACAGCTGTCTCGATATATTCTGTCTGAGCTCTTCGTTTGAACTGTGTCCCATATTGCCAAATGCGGAGAAGTTGGATAAATCACATTAAATACCGGGTCTGCCACCAGCACTATGACTCAGACTGTACCTCGCAAACTCTGGCCCTGGCTCAGCTGGGTGGTATTTATAGCATCCCTGCAATATGACTGCAAAGGAACTTAAAAAGAAGATTTAAGAAGTTTCTAATAGCACTTAGCAAAGGACAATACTTCAATTTATTCCCCTGTTAGTGGCACTGATTCCAGCACCACAGACAGCTCCTGAGCTACATCAGCCGGTCAGGACCTGCACAAAGTTCCCACAATGAGGCAGAGGAATCTTTGAAAGTGACTGCAGAAAACCGTGTGGGCGTGAGTGCACGCGCTCACTTGCAAACCAGAGGCTGATCCCAGCGTGACATTTTTACTGCAAGCATATTTATCGCTTTAACTATGAAAGTTTAATGTCTTGCGTGTCTGGACTGCTTTTGTACTGTTGCGACTTTAAACTCCTGACGCTTTCACCTTAGATTGTAGATCGATGGAAACAAGATCAAGAGAAGCGTTCAACAGATGCCAAATACAGAGACCGCAGGAAAAGGGCACACGAATGGAGGAAGACTTTAAACCTTTTTTTTTCTTCTCCCCACTTACGCTAGGGTTTGGGTGAACGCTTTTGCCTCCAGGCCAGTCTTCAATGCATTTATTTGTGTGAGTTCATGAACAAGAAGTGGCACACACAGTAATGCGTCTCTGAAGGCTGCAGTGCCTCTTAGCTGACTGAAAATGCGTGCAAATGTTGTGGGCTCGACTATTTACTATTGCTATTTATTACATTTAGTGTCAAGGTCTGTGCGTAAACCAGAATGCATAAAAGACGAAGGAGGAAAGAAGCCATTACAGGATGATTTTTGCAAGTTAACTGTAAATCTATTTGTTGCATTGTGACACGGGGGCATTTCTTTATTTCTTTAAGCAGCGTTTCTGTGCCCTGAAGCGGTGAATAAACAGCAGACAGACATAAAAACATAAACAGCGCTGCTCTGTTTCATTGCTGCTTGGGTGTAAGAAACACTGCATTTGTTTTGAGCGTTGTCTACCTGCATTAGTGGTTAAGGACAGTCAAAGATTGGCAAAAAGCAGCGAATTGAAGTGTTTAAAAACATAACAAATGTGAATCCCCAAACCCAGAGTGTAATTCGGTGTAACTCTCGTCTTTTAAAAGTCGGTTGATGGAGTCAATCTGTGTGTAGTTGAGCTGATCCGAGTATGAATACAGTTGTTCTGTTAATGCCTCAAAGGTTTGTTAGGACACGTGCGTGGACACACACTTTCACACAGAAGGAACACAGAAGACCTTTTTTTTGTTGTTGTTTAGAAAAAAAAGAAAAAAGGAAAACCTGGGGTAGGCTTTGGTTTCACACTGACTTTACGTTGGCCTACCACAAAATAATTGTAAGTGTTGCTATATACTGTATGGACAATATATTTCTGGTAACTGGAACATCTGCTAATGGACCCTGCAGTGGGGAGGAATGAAGCTTCCTGCTAGGAGGGATCTGGGACAAAGCGAGGGGTGGCTACACAGCCTGAGGCAGAACAACTAAGGGGCTAAGACACAAGATAAGTGGGTACTCTGGGGTAAGTGTCTGGGGTCATTCTTAAATTCAGGACACCCAAAGCAAAAGGTCTGTCGTACTTAAAGAAGTACAGAGGAGAGATTTCAAGGTGAAAGGTACTACAAGTAAAGCATTTACAGTAACAATACATAAGCTAAGTCATGATCAGTCACTAAAATACCAACATGATCTTATCTTGTCACTATGAATTTTTAGCTAAATCAAAAAAAAAAAAAAAAAAAAAAAAAACATCCCAGCATATTGTGGATGAAAATAAATACTTTACACTGTGTTGATTCAAGCTACATTTTACTAAGATTTAATGCCAATTTTGAACCTTTCAGCTGATGAGACAGGAAGAGACAGCAATGAGATGAGGGATGATCGGTCAGAAATGAAAGCAAACACTAAATATATTGTTCTATTAAGAGGTTTACTTGTTAGAAGAGTTGCAAAGGAAGTTTACACTTTTAATCCTCCATTTGAATAGTTTTTGTTTCAGGGTGGAATGGTTATGTAAAAACTATGGCGAATTCTAAAGGCAAGTAAGAACACATCAATATAAAAATTTGGTACTGAACTCAATATCAGATATTAATATGAATTGCTGTTATGGCCATTAACTAATATTTGTAATATTCTAATCTGCAGATTTCTGTAAGAACAAACTAAAAGAGTTCCAGATGAACTTTCAATGTTCAGATCATATTCCCAAAATCACCTAACAGTTTATTACAATCATGTGTATGAACAGGCAAAATAGACTATTCAGGCTTAGAAGAAAACTTTAGATCAGTCATTCTAGCTGATCTAAAACCAGAAAGGTTCAATCTGATTCAATACAAGAGTTAAAAAAACAAAGACTGAAAAGATTTGCATGCAAACATCTGGTTTAAATCGCACACCTCCTTACATGCAACTGACAATGCACAGTGGAGCGTTTGGCGATTGTGTGGGACATCTTTGAAACCACATTACTTGTGATATTGTTTTTTTAATCGGAGCACAAGTATTAGCGAGATTCAATCTTCTTTTAATAAAATGAGTTATTACAATTTTAATTGCTTCCCCCCTTTGAAATTAAGCTGTTGATAAGACGGCATGGCTGAAGACATAAAAGCAGGAGTGGTGCTTCGCTGAACAAAAAAGAGTGATTCAAGTATTTCTGAGATTACTTGTTAGATGGATAAATGCCTTTTGTGAAATGTACTACCTTGTCCAACACTTGAAGAAATTGGCTTCGGAAAGCAAAATGGCATGGATCCTCACGCTGCTTTCATTTGGAACATTGTGATTTGAGTACACTCAACGAAATAAAATAATGAACTCTCAAAAAAAAAAAAAAATCCCAAGGTAAATGTTCTTTTCAGAAGCCTGACTGAAACAATTGGGTCCAGGCCTTGACGCAGCTAAAAGCTTAAAGTCTTTACATCTCAGAATGCAGGCTCACATGGCATTTTCTTTATAGACACAGCTGCCATGGCTGGTTGAGGGGATAGGGAGAGACGTAAGCAGGCATGCAAAGCTCCACATCATGACTCCGGGCTCCAAGGTAGTCGAGTCTCTCTCTCTCATTCTGGAGGACATGGAAACAAACAGGAATGATGCAATGCTAAACTGGGATGAATAAAAAACACTGAAAAATAAATGATGCTTGATGCACTTGCTTTCAGCTCCAAGTCTACTATCAAACTTCTCTTTCCTCGAGACACTGGCTGTCAGTGTGTATGGTGGGCCGTATAGCCAATCGTGTGCAAAGCCTGGCTATATGCATGCCAGCAGATTCATAAACAGGCCAATTATTCCCATGACAAACTACATGCTAATGTATTCTGTAACCATGCGGGAAAATCACTCCAACATCAACTTCCAGCTTCAACTCACTTTCTGTGGGACAAATATGTGTTGAATTTTTGTATTTTTTCTCAGCATAAAGTATGTGTTGTGTGTATTTTGAGCAGAAACATAGCGCATTGCAAAAGTATTTATAACTCTCAAGCTTGTTCCCATTTTGTCATAGTACAACTAGATAATAATTTGTCTAATTTTAATGTTATACGACACATTAAAATAAAGTGGGACATAATTAGGAAGTGGAATGAAAATGATACATGGTTTTCAAAATCTTTAAAAATAATGTCAAGGTGGTGGCAGGCACTTATATTCTATTTGTATAAATAAAGGTCAAATAAATAAAAATAAAAATAAGTGGACAGACATGTGTTGGTAGCTTAGATGCTGACCTACCATTTGCCCCACAAATAAATGGAAAAATGCGTTTGTTTGACACGTTCATAAAGACAATACAAAGAATTAATTGATAAAGTCATTAAACAGCATTTAAACTACGAAGGACAAAAAAAAATGCTAGAAACATTAAAACGTACAAAACACTGGCAGATAAGTGTAAAGGGTTCAAGTTGAGAAGAAAAACAGAGGTGTGGGGGCAGAGGGGGAACTGCTCATACATACCAGCTGATGGAGTGGAGCCTGAACGAGAAGGAACACTGAGCTATGGGCGGTGGAGATCGGTTCTGCCACAAAGAGAAAAGCAAGTTCACCCCCCTGCACGGAAAGTGTCAAGCACATTAAACAAGGTCCTCATAGCCAATGTTTCTTGCTGGGCTGCTTTCCCCTCATGTGCTGTCACCATTCTCAACCTAAACTGCATGACACTGCTGAGGAGCTGACACAAGCAATCCCCTGCAACACATACAAGGAAGCCAAATGCTCTCTTGAGTTGTACTCATAATTTGTGTCTGCGATTGAATTTGCAACCAGGTCAGACTGCAGCATAAAAAACAAAACAAAACAAAAAATACACACACAAAAAAAAACTTGCATGACCTACAGGAGAGAACTCAGCATCACCCCATTCCTTATTATCATTAACCAATTTATTTTCATCATGACAAGATGCAAGAAATATCCACCACTGTTCTCCTTGTGCGTTCTTGTAAAGAGGAGAGCAAAGCTAATGGAAAAGGTCAGTTTTGTTGTGCATATCATGCCCTGGTGATATTCTGTGTGTGAGGTGAAGAGCCTCAGGCAAGGTTCCTATTAGCAGACGCCCGCAGCAAAATAAGACAGTGTAGAAATAAACCAGAGAGTGACAAGAGCGGAGATTCTACTTGAATTAACATAGAGGCTGCTTAAAATACAACATGCACGAGTGTTTGTGCAAGCAGCTACATGCTGCTCTCAATTAGGAAAACAGCACGGAGGTTAGATGGTCATGGAATAAAACTGCATCCTCCGACTTTAAAGGTGGGATGTGAGAATATTATGTTTAGTCTATATGAGATGCCTACCCTGAGGCAGATGACATTTTATTTTCCAGGTATTGGGAAAAAAAACAGATTTGCAATAAATCTGTATTTTTGTGGGGATATTTAATACACACAACTGATCGGTGGGATTTCATTAAAATCATATCTAGCACAATTCGGAGGAGACACTCCTGATGAAATGCTTGTTAGAGGATGATTTTTTTCATAATTAAAAAAACAATACAAATTCTAGATTCTGCACACTGAGTTCTGGAATATGACCAGCCCAATTAGAAATGCCAGCTTTTCCACATAGTGACTATATTGTTGTTAAAAAAATTAAAGGTCTCTCCACTTTAACTTTTGACATAGACCTAAAGGTTTTTAGTCAGGACTGGTTTGCATTTGGAACAGCCCATAATTTAATCTATCATGCCAAAATAAAACTTCAATTCCACATTAAGAAAGTAACCTAACATGTAACCCTCATCGCCATCTTTCCCTGAAGGCGTGGTCTCGTTTTATTTGTTTTATTTGAACAATTCGACTCTTTAGTCTGAAGATGTGCTGGAAAGAAGAAGCTGTGGCCACATTCTAACCAAAGGCAGTATGTTGCAGTTTCTCTCCACACCATCCCTGACAACTCTTGCTTTTTTTAATAATTCTGGAGAAATGTGGAATTTATCGTAACATCTTTGTTGTCCCACATTTATTGATGACTGCGTTTACCCTGTTTTTTTCCAAATAAGATTATATTTATGTCCTAATAGACTTGTGAAATTAGATCAATTTGTAACCCCTCTGCAAACTGTAGCTCCAGTTAGAGGTGCAAACAAGGACAGTCAAGAAAATCAACAGCTGTGTTTGACTTCTGGTTTCTCAGATGCACAACAATTGATGGCAGGTGTCAACACCAAAAAAGACTGAAAGCAGAAATAAAATCTGAAGGTGTTTTAATGAAGTTTCAATTATGCTCCAGAAACAGAATGAATGCAGCTTATTAAAAATGTAAAATAATAAACACCGTAATGTTATTTTGAAAAAATAAAGTTTATGGAGTGCTATACAAATTTTTTTTACATCAACTGGTAAGTTATCGGTCACCCAAAATTCGCATATGTTCTTCAGACAACTTGTTCAATGCATGACAATCAGACTATTTGACAAGCAAAATTTGTTATTTGTTACTGGACAAATAACGATGCGTTTTTTGATGAGCATATTATTATTGCTGTGAAAATTTACTTTCTCAAATTACTTTGTGTGTGTCTACAGCCCATATTTGAAAATAAAGGGGGTGAAAAGAAGTCTGCAGCCAAAAAATGCGAGCTATTTGCTGAAATCCTACCCACCACCAGTATGTATTGATCAGAACCAGTCTGCATGGCTTGTCAATAGGTAATTTCATTACACGACTAATAAAAATGAATCAATCAATTAAGAGCTATAATCTGACAACCACTAATATGATGCACCACAGAGGGCAATTGAATTAATGAACCACCACCCACTGATGAATCTATATGAACAAAGTGGGGTTTTCTGGGCTCCAGCCCACACACACACACACACACACACACACACACACACACACACACCACACACACACCACACACACACACACACCCACACACACACACACACACACAGGCACCCCCCTTCCCCCCACACATACACACATCCACACAAAACTGAAGCAAATGTACAGCTGCCTCAGACACACTAGTGAACCTTAACAATGTTCATGTAACAATGCAACATTGCTCCATCAACCACAATCTTACAAATACATATATACACTATATTGCCACAAATATTCCCCTTTCCTGCCTCAGAAGGTTAAAATTGAGTCACATCTTAATCCATAAGGTTTCATATTATGTAACTCCACCCTTTGCAGCTATAAAACCTTCCACCCTTTTGGGATCGTTTTACACAAGTTGTGTTCATAGACATTTTGACAAATCCCCCCAGAAGCTCATTTGTGAGGTCAGACGCTGATGTTGGCTAGTGGGCAAAAGCCGATTTACCTCTGACTGGAAACAAGATATTTAAGAGTAGAAAATGACACCAGACAGATAAAACCAGCATCTTCAAGACAGAGTTGTGGGTTTCATGGAAAGTGTGTTTAATAAATTGCTTAAAAGTTATTTTCTGACAAACAAGCCGTGCAGTTGACTAAGTATGACTGCATTCAGTGATCAAGCTAACTGCTATTAGCAATATGAGCTAATAACATTTGTGCGTTGTATTTTTACTGCAGCCGTACCCTTGCTAAAGAATATTTTATGTATTTTGTCAGAAGATTTAATTAGATAAATCTTTAAAATACATTTTAAAAACCGTTTAATTGTTGAGGTTTATGAGTAAGGCATCCATTTTGAACTTTAACATCAAACCTTCCTAATTGTGACTCCAAACTATACAGCTTAAAAAAAATAAAACAAAAAGCAACAAAAAACAAACAAACAATAAAATAAAGCATAATCAAATTGCATCCTTTATCCAACACTGCCAGAGGATATAAATGTTTCTTTTTATTGTTTTTAAGATGTTGGATATCAAGCTTGGACAACTCAGTACTTTGTTGTCCAGTAAGTAATGTTGCTTTTCATAAAAAGTCCCATATCCACCATGTTAGATAAAGCTGTTACAATTTCATCAAGGATATTTTATCACAGTCAAAACAGAAATCAGCTCTCATGTTTAGGGACATTTATTTGTGTTCGATGACAGCTTTCTTCTGCATTTTTTAAAATATTTGTTGTATATTAGCCATTCATAAAGCACTAATTAATGAGAACAAATAAGGTCCTTTACCCTGTTAACATGATGATATCGAGGTGAGAGGACTTGTTTAATTCAGGACTTGTTTAATTCAGTAATTGTTGACAGTCTATGAATTATTAAACTACGTCTCCTACGCATAGACAGGATTGATTAGCGTAATCTTCTATTTAAGTTGTGACCTAAAAATGTATTTGTTCATAGCCAGAAGCTGTTGAGTGAGACATTTGAAACCTTTGATCTGCTTAGTCAGCAATTCAACAAATGACAAAACATGCAAGAAAGAAAAAGAAAAAGAAAAAAAAAAAAGGTTGCACCGAGGATCTGTCTCACAAGACAGTGACTACGGGATCTCTGACGCAATTTTGAAAAGCTGCATTATTTATCACTGTAAAACATAGGCCCATTCTCATGGTTGTGCAACCATTTGAATAAACATTAGCTTTTCATTTAAATTATCCGCAACATAAAGCTATGTTTTATTCAAAAAGTTACCTAACCAAACATGTCAAAATGCTTTTAAAGTGTTAATGTTTTCTCTCCCCTTCGGAGGTAATGAGGGGCTGTGAATTAAAGGCCTACTTCGAACACCGGTTGTTATTACATCTCACCAATAGCCCTTTCATTTAGAGCAATTCAATTATTAGTTATGAAAGAATCTCTCTTGCTGTGTGTAGACGGTGAGAAACAGATCCACTTCATGTACAAACATAATTTCCAGGAAGTTTAAGTGATTTTAGGCCGTAATATCCCCTCAAGTGAAATATAAAACAGATGTTCTGTTTTCTGCAGCAACAATTTTGCTGGATTCCCGGCAAAAAGATAGAAGTTAAGCCAAGAGTGGGGAAAAAAAACAAAAAAAAACAAAAAAAAAACGTCTTGCTGCTCTTTTCAGCAACTACCAGTCTGCTTTATTGTTCTCGTTTCACTATTATTTGTGGATGATACTGTCAAATGTTCCCTTTTTAGTGCTTTTCAAGTTGAAATATAATAATTTTACAACTTTACTGTCTCCTTAGGAAATCACTTTTCTTTTGTGATATACATCAGTGCTGCCCTTCGAGTGGATTTGCTGCAGAGTTCGTACGGCACACCGGGGCACTGTGCAAATAAAAATTCCTGTCTAGCATAAGCTGGATTTAGGTTTTTGAATCAAGACTTCCGGTTAAAGGCTAGACTCACCTACAGGCCCCTCAAAACTGCCCCTAGTCCTTGAACAAGATGAACTGTAGTTTATCTCACTGGGATATTTTGTGTTTCACCAAAAAAAAAAAAAAAAAAAAAAAAAAAATAAAGCATCGCATTACAATACCTTAATTTGAACCTAAAGTTCAATCATTTGATAGCCAATGGAAAAATGTGGGTTATTAATAATAATAATAATAATAATAATAATAATAATAATAATACAACTTTTTAGCCTTTCTTACCAAGGTGTAAACTAGATATGCAACATTTAAATAAAGTAGAAAATCCACCGTAGATGCAAAACATAACATGTGTCTCTCGTGTTTTCCTTATTAAAATAAAGAATCCGGTTTCCTATTTTCTTTGGGTGCAATGTTTTCTATCTTTCTGTTTAGTCATTTTTTTAGCCGATTTCCATCAAGAACAGAATCCGAGTCATCCTTCCTTCGAAAGCCCTTGTGTGGTTTTGCTAAATTTAAAGACTTTGAATCAAGTACGTTTCTGAAAAAAACAGTTACCGGCTGTAGATGAAAACAAACAACATGGCTAATAAAACCTGACCATTATTCTATAGTCTGTCAAAATGTGGAAATGATGACAGAACGGCTTCTCACCCTTTAAACAGGCATTATTTCAGAGACACTAAGCATCCACTGGAGGTTCCAGTGCACACAGAAGACCAAAACAAACAGGCAGCAGCACAAACGCTTTCCTCCTCCAGTCCTTTTAATATCACTGTCAAACTTTGTTTCCCTCAAACTCCACGACTCTACAGTTCAATGTGGCGAACCTCCCTATCTTCACACATAAATACACATTGCGCATATATAGGTACGTCCCGCTGTGGCACAATCAGTCCGCACCACCCACTGGAGCAAAAAGACAACAAGACATGGTGTCGCTCAACCCTGACTTTGCCACACAGGGAGGCAACCGGGTTCATAAGTGTTGTCAGTGAAACACTGCAGGGTGTCTTTCAGGTGTCACCGGTGATGGAAAAAGGTAACCTACCGCCCACACCACTGCATAACTGAATATGGATTGTTTCATGTTCCAGGCGATGCTCCTGCTGCTTAGGGTGCCCTCGATTTACCACTGATGTCAGAGTGACAGAAATAGGCAGTGGCCTGGCCGGTTTTTTTTCCCCTCTGTGAACTAATCAATTTCTACTTCAGAGATGTCTGATCTTTCTCTTCTTCCAACTTTGATAGCGAGTTGAAGCGACGGGGACAAGGGACCCGCAGTAGTCAGGACTCTGTGCGGAACTGTCTCACTGAGCGATCTTTTCTCTCTTGTACACTCGGAACAATTTCATATACATCTGCTTGCCTCTCGATGAGCCAACCAGCACAAAAAAAACAGACAGCTTGGAGAATGAGAGCTGATAAACGGCCCATTAGACAGGTAATTGCCAGAATATTCTTTAGATCTTAATTACATTACACATCAGTAGTGATGCCATCTTGTGATAAAGAGACAGATGTTTAACATACGAGATATTTTCTTTTTCTTTTTTGTTTTTTGGGGGTGGGGGAGGTATTCACAAAAAAATTAAATAATAGGTGTTGATATGAATATCATCATGTGCATGATCAGAAGTATCAACTTATTCCTCTCTTTTCTCAAGAGGCACTTGATGGTATGAAATTCCTCAAGATGAACAAAATATTCAGTGGAGATTTCAGCACTGTTGCACCGCATAACGTCAGCGAATATGACAGCTGCACAGTCGCGCTAAAGTGCTGTATTCAAAACATGCCGCGGATTTAAATCTGGTTAATCGAGAACTCTAGGAGGAGATTTAGATGAAATTTAATATTTTAGCTGTAGACAACTTCTAAGTCATTGGCCAACCTAAAACCATTAACATCTCTATTGCACAGCACCCTGAAAATATTAACCTCTAAGATTAAAACTGGTGGGGCCAGCATTTGTCTCGACCTATAAGAGCTGACTATAGATTTTCTTTCTTTTCTTTTTTTTTTTTTTGTCTAGTTGTAAGATTCATTGAACTCACCATGTTGCTTTTGAATCCTTGACTTTCTTTCAGTCCACTGCATCCACAGTCACTGGCAGTCTTACACTGTCAGAATGCTTTTCTTCAAGGCAGCAGCTGGTCAGAGATGATGCGAAGACGGATGGAACCAAATACAGTTGGACCCCGGTGCTGGAATGGAATGACTTTGAATTCAGACCAAAACAAATCCACGTGTTACAATAACTTAGTCACTATTCAATGTAACCATCTTGTAACTATATGCTCCACATCCGTGCCGCCATGTAGTTTAACAGTACCACCAACGTAGCTGATGGATGAGGCCTTTCTTTTGCTCCGGAGGCACTGCTCTTTGCTTTGACACTCCACAAGGAACTATTCTATTGGAATTTCATCACTGTTGCATCACATGCAGTCAGGAGATTTATCAGCTGCACGTTCATGCTCAAATACTCCATCCAGACAAATCCTATGGTTGTTCTCCTTGATTTAGATCTGGTTACCCGGCTAATACTCAGAACGCAATGACCCACTTTTCAGGTTCAGGGATTTAAAACGCCTTCGTTTCTCATTCTGTAATGAAGTAGCACATTTTTTACCTTAAAAATATGCACATCCGCACAGTGGCCCTTATTGGTGTCAAACTGGTGTTTCACTGCTATTTAGTGGGTGCACATGAACAATCTACACACCATCTACACATCCATATTAAATCCAGGAAATCAACAGACCTACTCTAATTACTGCTAATTAGTTTAGAAAAAACATCCCAAACGTGTATACTCCTAGAAAAGAATGAGACTTACTAAGTGTTCCTTCCTTTAAAATGTGCAGCAGGTTGTGAGGAAACAGTTTTTTTTTTCCTCTCCCTGTCACCGTTATGACTGAAGTGTTTGTGGCAGAGGTCACTTCTGGATGGCCAGAGCAAATTGCTCACACCTTCTGAACGCATTTGCACCAGTACATCAGCACTTCTTTCAAGCTTGGCGAATGAAACGCTTCGACTCAGTAGAGGGCGGATGCAGCACAATGTTAGGTGTGGGTTTCACCGTGTTGCCTATTGTGATGATTGATAAAAAATAATAATAATAACAACACAGATCTGTCTTACTTTACAGTATTGGTATCTCAGTCAGTCTGAATTACAAAGCATAGTGAGGAAGATTCAATTGCTATATTCTTGAAAAAAATACAGACAACAGAAAATTGTTTTTAGTGACATTTCAGTTTGCAAGTATGTTTTGCGTTGGAATATTTGTTTTGATTTTTATAACCCTTTTCTCGTTGTAACCCTAAACTGTGAAAAAACAAACAAAATAAAAGGGTGATGATGCAAAATTAAATGTAATTTTAAAGAATACCTGGGATTCATTGAAGGGAGCCTTCTAAATATGACAATCAGACTGTCAACAGGAGTCATTTAGTACAGTAAATTCAGTACATTAGCTATGAAATACATTTGAAATGACATAATATGATATCATTTAGAGACATTTTTTATTTGTACAAACACAGCCATCAAGAAATCGGAAAGCTTTCTAAAAGTCTTACTGGCTTGCCTTACTACATCTGGACATATTCAATATCACTTTTATGCCAAATACATGCTAAATATTTAAAAAATACAACTTAAACAAACTGAAGAATAACCGGAGGCATTATGTAAAATTGCCCTGTTTTTCATTTTTTGACTTTGTCATTCTCTCATCAAAAACATACCTGGAGTGTTTCAAACATGAGGAATGTTTGAATTTCTCAAACATTTCTCATGCATGTTTGAGAAATTCTTTAATATCCCATGGCAGCAGTAACATTGAGAACAACGAAAACCTCAAGGTGATAAGAAAAGTTTTCAAAAACCTTCTATTGTCATAACAGGACCGACAGCAAGCTCTTCCTACTGTTGATGAGAGTAGCTGCAGGTATAAGTGAGAAGGCGAATGCAAACGTTTAGATCGGCTGGGAGGCGTGTGTCAGAACAAAACCTTTGCTCTCTTATAAACGCATAAAGGCAAAAGTGGAATTTACCTAACTTAATGCAGATAGAGAGTAGGACTATTGGAAAACTAGTCTTGAGACAGATACGTCTTAAACTGAATTTAGGACACAGCTAAAAGTTAATGGTTTAGAAATGATCTGCTCCAGGAGGAAGGTGAGTTGCTGGAGCAGATCCTGAGATCCTCTTACTATTATACCACTATAACTAAGAATTTACCAAAGACTGGCTGGCAATTATGAAATGGAAAATCCTGGGTATATTCAAAGCCTGGATCCTTATCCTTTTTTGACAGTGTAAGCTTTACATACAAGGCACAACTGAAAGTGGAGAAAGCTGCAAAGTTGTTTAAGCCAAAGGGAGTAACATTGGCCACATTTTACGATTAAGATATTTTATAATCAGTAAAATAAGGTAGTTTTGGTTAAAAACTAATTTAGATATAAATATGCGACCATAAAAAATAACAATGGGAAAGACTAAGTTTTCCCACATGGTTAAAATGAGATTTTTTATGAATGAAACTAGAAGCAGCCAATGTTGACCGTTAATGGAAAAAAGCCTAAACGGCTTTCAGCTTCATCTTTCAGGTTTCAGTGAGTTACGGAAACTAGACAGTTCAACGCAGCACCTGGGGAAAATAAAATGCTCTAAATGTGAAGGAAAGCAACCCCTTTCTTTTTTTGGGAAGCACACTGTATATGCCAGAGAATAGAGGTAATGCACTGAAGTTTCTCTTGGTTTGTACAGTCTGTCCTTAGGTGGTAATGACATTTTGAGACGAGTCAATCCAGCATGTTTCCATTTCCTGGTCTCTCCATGTGGGGAATCGTCCTGATTGGCCTCATGCTGCAAGAAAAACCTTTAGTTTGCTGATGCAGTTGATGGTGAAATTGATTGAAATTGATTCAACTAATGCAAATTCTAAGCACTAATAAACTTCTTCAGAATGAAGGACTAGAAAAATAGAGAAGGATAGGGGGATGTTGGGAGAGGGGTTGTCTTCCGAAAGTCCACATATCAAAATTGAAGACAGACCCAAAGGATATTTGCCTAGTCAACTTTGGATTCCTCCTGTCATTTACCTAATCCTGATGTTCACACTCCAGTGGTGTGGATTGAGGGACAAGGAGAAGGGTGATGAGAGGATGAGAGACAGAGAGAGACCAGGATGGTGATGGCTGTCTGTGGACGGTCCCAGGAGTGCGGGGAGAGTTGTGGCTGGCTGGACCAGGTTGGCCGGAAGCTGCAGCATGCCTGACAAGCCGCATCGGAGCCACTGACACATCTCCGAGTCTGAGCACTGACTCAAGCGGACACTGCAGGATGCAACACAGTCAGAATCTCAAACACACTCAACACAGTCATCCGGGCAGAGCTATTTGAATGACAGTAATATGTTTTTTTTTTTTTTACCAATAGGAAAGGAGCAAATTCCTAATATAGTGTTTTGCAAAAGTATCCATACCTCTTGAATGTTTTCACACTTTGCTACATTCCAATCACAAACCCTAGTGTAGTTTTTGGGTTGGGCTTGTTGCAAAGGACCAACACAATTAATGAATTAAAATACATTGTGGTGTGCATTTGTGTTTAACTCCACTAAATACAATCCTGTGCAGCTGAATGCCTTCATCTCAGGATGAATACAATAGTTCTGTGAAGGCCTCGGACATTTGTTGGAGAACACCGAAAGACAAGCAGCATCTTAGAGACCAAACAATGCAGGACCCAGTTAAAGCTGCAGGGAGGTTTACAACAGGGCAAATTACAAAACAATAGTCTGATGGAGAATTTTTGGATCTTTTATCTGAAACTGAAAAGACTGCAGTTTTATTTTTTTATCTTTTTGACAAAACAACTATAAGTCTAGCACCCCACAAATCAGATTTTTATGGAACAGTTGCAAGAAAAAAAAACATTGTTGTAAAAAGCCAAGATTTCTGTTTTCAGTCCTTCTCAAGTCATATAGAGAAAATTATGTTCAAGACATAACCTTTGGCCTAAATGTAAAACGCTGTCTGCGTCAACAAACTACCATTGGACATCACCATGGACACACTATCCACTTGTTAAAACATGGCAATGTTGGCACTAGGCAGTGGAAGTCTATTCTATTAGTAGGGAAAAGGAAGCTTGGCGCTAAATACAAACCAATCTTTGGAGAAAACCAGAGGTACAATGAAGCAGCTTAAAGGAATTCATATTCAGATTGACCCAGTAAGAGTTAGGGCTATTGAGGGCATGTGGCACCTGTCCATCCAAGGTGATTATTTAGACATATTTTGTGCAGATGAATGGACAATTCTCTCTAGATGTGAAGTGTTGACAGATGCATACCCCAAAATGTTTGCAGCAATAATTGTGGTAAAATAAAATAAAAAATAAAAAAATGTGTCTGCAGGTTTCTAAGCATACGTTGCAATTCTTACGATTCATCCAGCTGAGAAACTGCACAAAATGTTGGCATCACAAATAAATTCTTGGCTTTAAAAAGCCATTTTACCGACACACAAAAATAAAATAAAAAAATAAATAAAAAGTTGTCTCTTTCATTAGCTATAAGTGCGGTTTCTCTGGAGGGAGAGAAAGGTCCCTCCAAACAAATATTCTGGAACCAATTTTTCCCTTTCACTGACAGTTTCTGCAAGACCTTGCAATACATTTTGCATTACCTTGTGATAGTCTACTTTTGTACTCTTATAAAACAAGTTTTTAACATCTCTCTGGATGCTTCATTTTCCTACTAATTTATATAAAAGAATATTTGTTTGGTAGTCTAAGTGGAATTAATTAAGCCTTACAAAAACAACAGGTATTTTACAGAAACCTTAAAAAAACTCTAAAATGTCCAGCGCTTTATTTTTAAAACTGCAAGCCTATAGGCAGGTAATATTTCTGGTTCTGTGGGTAAACATATAGATAACGCTGCACTGCATCTGCTCAAGAGTTTAATCTTTTTTTTTTTCCCCTCTGTTTATATTTGTAACATTTGTAGATAACTTAAAGGATCTCTACCACAGCCTGTTTATTTCTGACAGGCTATGCCTAGATTATAGTGTCACACCTCTCACTCTGTGCAGCTCTGGCTGCTACAATTTAAACCTGCGGTGTTTCCACTACAGATGTGTTATCAGCGCTCTATAGGAGATTACTGACATTAAAACTCAGTCAGCAAAACCGTCCCCGGGCATAAACTGCCACTGCGCGTAAAGTGTTAAAACAGTCGAAACAAATGTGTCACAGTTATAATCATAACAAGCGGAGCACAGCCATTCCTGTA